GGGAAGTTCATAGCAATACAGGCCCACCTCAAGAAACAAGAAAAAGGACTCATAAACTATTTTACCTTATAAATAAAAGGATCAGAAAGAGAACAATAAGAAAAGCCCAAAGTAGGTAGACGGAAGGAACAAATAAAGATCAAAGCAAAAATAAATGACATAGAAACTAAAAACAAAACAAAACAAAACAAAAAGAGCAATGAAACCTAGAGCTAGTTCTTTGAAAAGATAAACAAGATTGATGAACCTTTAGCTAGACTCATCAAAAAACAGAGAGGGCTCAAATAAACAGAATCAGAAATGAAAGAGTTGAACAACTGACACCATAGAAATTCAAAGTATTCTAAAAAATACTATTCAAAGTATTCTAAAAAAAATACTGTGAGAAACCATAAGCCGGCAGTAGGACATCCCCCAAGGGGTCCTTAGCACTGCCGTGGAGGCAGGAGAGGCTCCCGCCACACAGCTGCACTTTGCCATCCATGAGCCCGGCTTGTAGCTGAGCAGCGCTCCCCCTGTGGGAGCACACTGACCACCAGGGGGCAGCTCCTGCATTGAGCGTCTGCCCCCTGGTAGTCAGTGCATGTCATAGTGATGGTCATTCCATTGTTTGGTCGATTTGCATAATAGCCTTTTATTTCATAAGATGACCTGATATTCTACACAGCAAAGACTACAGAATCCAAAATAAACGAACAAAAAACAACTACTAGAGTTAATAAGTGAATTTGTCAAAGTAGCAGGATATAAAATTCATATCCAGATATCAATGGCATTTTTTAAAAATATATTTTTATTGATTTCAGAGAGAAAGGGAGCGGGAGAGATAGATAGAAACATCAATGATGAGAGAGATTCATTGATCGGCTGCCTCCTGCACACCCCCGACTAGAGATTGAGACCACAACCCAGGCATGTGCCCCTGACCGGAATCGAACCTGGGACTCTTCAGTCCACAAGCCGATGTTCTATCCACTGAGCAAAACCAGCTAGGGCTCAATGGCATTTTAATATACAAATAATGATCTCTGATTTAGAAACTAAAAAAAAATCCCTTTTACCACTGCAACTAAAAAAATAAGGTAACAGGAATAAACTTAACCAAGGGCATAATAGACCTATACTAAGAAAACTATAGGACACTGAAAAAAGAAACAGAGGAAGATACAAACAAGTGCAACCATATTCAGTGTTCATGGATTGGTAAAATTAACATCATTAAAATGTCCATACCACCCAAATCAATCTATAGATTCAATGCACTCCCTATTAAAATACCAAGGTTCATAGATCAAGAACAATCCCAAAATTTATATGGAACCAAAAAAAAACCCAAAAAAACAAAAAACCCAAATAACCCTCACACACTTGAGAAAGAAAAACAAAGCTGGAGGGATCACAATACCGGATGTCAAGCTACACTACAAAGCCAGAGTACTGGCCTGGCACTGGCACAAGAACAGGCATAGAGATCAATGGAACGGAACAGAAACTGACCCAAGCCTTTATGCTCATTTAATAGTTGACAAAGGAGGCAAGAGCATACACTGGAGTAAAGGCAGTCTCTTGAATAAATAGTGTTGGGAAAACTGTGCAGGTACATGCAAAAATATGAAACCAGACCACCAACTTAAGCCATACACTAGAATGAACTCCACATGGATAAAAGACTTAATTGTAAGTCATGAAACCATAAAAATCTTAGGAGAAAGCATAGGCCGCAAAATCTTAGACATCTCATGTAACAGAATTTTCACAGAAACATCTCCTATGGCAAGAGAAAAAAAAAATCATAAATAGCACTACATCAAACTATAAAGTTTCTGTACAGCTAAAGAAACCATCCTCAAAATGCAAAAGGAACCCATTGTATGGGAGAACATATTTACCAATGATACATCTCATAGGGGTTAATTTCCAAAATATATAAAGAACTCATACAACTCAACAAAAGAAAGACAAACAATCCAATTTAAAAAATGGGCAAAGGTCAGACATTTCTCCAAAGGGGACATATGGACGGGAACGAGACATGAGAAAATGCTCAGTGTCACTAATCATCAGAGAGATACAAATTAAAACAACAATAAGTCATCACTCACATGCCAGTGTTACCAAGAATGGCTGCCATCAATAAATCAAGAAACAACAAATGCTGGCGAGGATGTGGAGAAAAGAGAATGCAGACTAGTGCAGCCACTATGGAAAACAGTATGGAGTTCCCTCAAAAAACTAAAAATAGAACTATCATTTGACTCAGTGATCCCACTTTTAGGAATATATCCTAAGAACCCCGAAACACCAAACAAAAAGAATATAAGCACCCCTATGTTCATAGCAGCACAATTTATAATAGCTAAGATCTGGAAACAGCCCAAGTGCCCATCAGTAGATGAGTGAATAAAAAAAACTGTAGTACATTTACATAATATAATACTATCCCTATATAACAAAAGCCTAATATGCTAAGTGTCCAGTCATCCAGTCGTCTGTTCAACCAATCAAAGTGTAATGTGTTAATTATATGCTAAGGCTGCTCAACCACTTGCTATGATGTGCACTGACCACCAGGGGGCAGACAGTCAACCGGTCAACCAGTTGCTATGAAGTGCACTGACCACCAGGGGGCAGACGCTCTGACCAGTAGGTTAGCTTGCTGCTAGAGTCCGGCCAATTGGGACTAAGCGAGACGGGTTGGACATGCCCTGGAGCCCTCCTACGGTCCCTCCCCAGCTGGTCAACCTCCTGATTGTGCACTGGTGGGGTCCCTTGGCCTGGCCCGTGCCCTCTTGCAATCCGGGACCCCTTGGGGGATGTTGGAGAGCCAGTTTTGGCCCAATCCTGCAGGCCAGGCCAAGGGACTCCACTGGTGCATGAATTCATGCACCAGGCCTCTAGCCTATATAATAAAAGCCTAAGCGACCATTACAGTGGAATGACTAGAACGACTGGTTGCTATGACATGCACTGACCACCGGGGCAGGCGCAGGAACTGCCCCCTGGTGGTCAGTGCACTCCCACAGGGGGAGCACCGCTCAGCCAGAAGCTGGGCTCATGGCTGGCGAGCGCAGCTGCCATGATGTTGCGAGTCTCTCCAGACTCTGCAGCAGCAGGCGCAGCAGGCCAGGGTGGGTGCGAGTGGCGCCTGGCCCCAATTCAGGCTCCTTCCTGGCTGCCTGCTGCTTGGCACAGGGAGGGACGTAGGAGGTTGGCCAGCTGGGGAGGGACCACAGGAGGGCTCCAGGGCATGCTGCACTCCCTGTGCTACATCCCCCGAGGGGTCCCAGACTGTGAGAGAGTGCAGGCTGGGCTGAGGGACCTGCTCTCCAATGCAGAAATTTCGTGCACCAGGCTTCTAGTATGCTAATAATATGCTAAGGCCGCTCAACCGCTCACTGTGATGTGCACTGACCACCAGGGGGCAGACACTCCAACCTGTAGGTTAGCTTGCTGCTGGGATCCAGCCGATTGGGACTGAGTGAGACGGGCTGGACATGCCCTGGAGCCAACCTCCCACATCCCACCCTGGCCAGCCCAATCGGGACTTGGCGAGATGGCCCAGGCTGAGGGACCCCCCACTGGTGCACAAATTCGTGCACTGGGCCTTTAATGTAGCTATGAAAAAGAAGAATCTTTTACCCTTTGAGACAGCCTGGAGGGACCTGGAGAGCATTATGCTAAGCAAATAAGCCAGTCAGAGAAAGACAAGTATCATGTGATCCCACTCATATAGAATCTAATGAATAGAATAAACCAACAAACAAAATAGATCCAGGAACTGAGACGCATGGCACACACTGATGGATCTCAGAGGGAAGGGTGGAGGGTTGGCAGGCAGAGATCAACCAAAGAACTTGTAAACATCTATACATAACCCATGGACACAGACCATAGTGTGCTGAAGGCCTGGTGGGGTGCGGACCAGGGTGGAGGGGGCAATGGGGGACCTTGTGTAATACTCTCAACAATAAATAGATAAAGTCTGTTACACCATAAGACATATATATATTTGGAGAAGACAGAAAGCAAAATTAACCATGACCAGAAAGACTCAACAGAAGACATTATTTAGTTATCTAGCATGAAGAAGAAATGAGACTTTCCAAGTAAATAACTTATTTAGGTAACTGATCTTTAAATGACAAAAATCTTTCTCTTAGACTTTTCAATAGAACTTTTAAATGTATAGTTTTTCACAATATTTTTGGCAATTTAACACTAGCTATGGAACTCACTATCAGTTATTTCACCATGTTTGAGATGCTAAAAAGGTTTTATTTTTACACTTAATGGTCATAAGTACTATCATTTGGGGGAATTTTAAGTATATACTTTTTTTTAAGGGTTTCCGTCCACCTAGGCCCATGGTCGGCAAACTGCAGCTGGCGAGCCACATGCGGCTCTTCAGCCCCTTGAGTGTGGCTCTTCCACAAAATACCACGTGCGGGCGCGCCCGTACAGTGCAATTGAAACTTCGTGGCCCATGCGCAGAAGTCGGTATTTTGTGGAAGAGCCACACTCAGGGGCCAAAGAGCCACATGTGGCTCGCGAGTCGAGGTTTGCCGACGACTGATGTAGGCCATTGTGTCCAATCTTCCCCCCTCTCAGGTGGCTTAGACATTTCTTTCAAATATATGCTTTCAATATTACCAAGATGACAAGGACAGCATAACCAACCATATCTATGAAGTGACAGGAAAGAAGTATTTGGTTAAGAATTTTCACCTCAGACTTTCCTTTAATGCAGGACTTATCAAACTATAGCCAAGCAGCTTAACCTAGCCCACAAACTATTTTGGCAAATAAAGCTTTATTGAAACCCAGCCACACCCATTCATTTACATACTGTACAGGGCTGTTTTTGTGCTACAATGACTAAGTCACATTGTAAACCATGGGGCCCACAAAGCCTAAAATATTTACTATCTGATCTATCACAGAACGTGTTTGCTGGCCCTTGCTTCAGGGTTTCAGAAAGCACAACGGTAACATTCACCTACATTTGATTAACTTGACCACCTCCAAATGGTTGGAATGGGTCACCAGAGTCCCATTCACCTGCAAGAAAATGAACACAGTGCATGTCAGATACACTCTACAGACGCGTGGGTGAACGGATCTCAGGAATTACTATGCCTGGCACAATCAATTATAATATAGGAGATGGGGCTATGTATATACTAAAACATGAATATGCATGATTCAATATTCACTTTTACTGCTGTCCCATAAGATATACTCGGCAACAAAATGAACGTGAATACAAAACCAGGCCTGACTGAAAGGGCCTTGCAGCATATTCACCATGACAGATCATGGAACATAACTTACCACAGATTTACCAGCCTAGACAGTGGAGGGCTCTTGCAAATAGAAAATATCTCTTTGCCTTTAATTATAAATTCAGTGATTTGTTAAAATCATAATGCATTGTTAAAAGATAAAAAAATTATTTCCAAAATAATATTCAACTTACTTTTAGTTTCCCAATTATGACCTAATTTTTACAAAGAAAGTATTTTCAGAGAGGCTACATGTAGGAAATATTATCCAAAGTCTCCACTGAACAAAACAAAGTAAGGTAAAAATATCAAACAGGGATCTAACATTAAAACTAATTTTTCTCTGATTTTGATAAGTTAAAATACTATCAGTGTATAAGACAGCAGTACAGGTACACTCATCATGACCGCCAGAGACCACCTCTGGTAATCATGACGTTTAATCCTGGACACTATCCTAGCATATACACACCACATACACAGACGCACAAAACATAAAGTATTACTGTCTTTTTCTGTAAAGAAATACTTTTCACTGTATTTTGTATATCTTTCATTAGAAGTATACACATTCTTCAAAGCTGCAGATAAAATGTAATTTATTTCTCTAGCTCTCAGTTTATGCATATTTAGGTTGTTTATAAGTTGTCAATATGATGAAGCTAAAATGAATTTCCCTGTACACATTTCAGGGCTGTACACTTATTTCTTTAGATATATTCCTAAAAGCAAAATTGCTGGTCAAAGGTAATATACTTACTTAGAGTATATAATTTTTTATACATATTCACAAATTTCCATCCAGATTTTACCTAATTTAGACTCATGACTAGCTTATGAGAGTAGCTATTTTACCATACCCAAACAATACCTAATACGTAGTATCAATCTTTAAAATTTCTGACAACCAAATATATTTTCACGTATCTTTAATTTAGTAGTGAGGTTGGACATATTCTTATTAATATATTACTTATTTCCATTACTTTGGGGAATTGCCTGATAAAATTATTTGCCCATTTTTCTATTAGTTTATTCTTTTCTTAGTAATTGAAAAGTGCTCCTTATAATTAAGGATATACTCTGCAATATGTTTCAAGTATTTTTTCCAGATTGTTCTTTGTAAGTATGTTCATGGTGTCTTTTCCTGGGTAGTAATTTTGTTTCAAGAAATCAAATGAGTCAAGTATCTCAAGCGTCATTACTAACTAACCCATTCTTCCCTCCTGGTCAGATTCAAGGCTGCTCTGGGCTCTCTGTTCCACCGATAGACCCACACCAGACCAGGGCCACTGCCTTCATTAATCCACCCCTGTCACCTCACACAAACCCACACACAGAACACTTTTTTCATTAGCGATTCTCAGACCTTTGTAAAGTTCATTTGAAAGAATAATCAGACAAGTAATAGCATACCTCCCCAATTCTAATAGTATATTTTAATGAGAATTACTTGTTAAAAAATAATATGGAGAGAAATGATCTTTACAACAGTGAATTACATTCCTACCCAGGAACATATATGACTCCATTTATTCAAGCCCTTTTTATGCCTTTCAGTATAGGGTAATATTAATTTTTTTAAGTGAGTTTTTATAGCCCACAAATCCAACATACGTAATGTGCTGCATTTTACAAAAATCCAAGTGAAAAAAATAAAAATATGGCTAATAGATGGTTTTTTTTTTAATTCTACCATAAATTCTATAGTAGTCGTTTCCTTACCTTGATGATTCGATCACCTGTCTGTACTCCAGCCCGCATGGCTGCTCCATCTGTAAGAGAAACTAATTAATTAAAATGTAACTCATTTGCATTGATTGACAATGTTTTTGAAAGAGAGGAGCATAATAAAGTGCTTATGATCATGGGCTGTAAAGTCAGACTTAGGTTCAAATGTGGCCCCAGCCACTCACTAGTTGTGTGACCTTGTACTGATTTTATGTTTTTTTACTCTAAGCCTCAATATCACCTATAAAATGAGAATAAAAAAATACTACCTCAAATTACAGCACCCAACATGAAGTAAGTATATCTTATATGGTAATAGCAGTAAAAGATATGGTTGTTGTTGTTTTGGAAAAAAAATAAGATATTTTTGAGCCTATAACCATCTGCTTAATCTGTCTCTACCAAACAACTCTAAAGAAATAATATTCAACAAACCTCTATAAGTGATGATGCATAAAGTATCACGAAAAGAGTATTATGATTTCTAAAACTATATATAAAGTGCAAAGAAAATCAACTTGGGGGGAATTCATGCCTAAAACTATGACACTGAAAACAAATCTAGCACCACAGGTTACATAACCTGCACTGTATATGGCTGTGTCATTCTGTGCAATAGATTTTATTTATACTTTTCTGTTCTTACTCTGCTCTCGAGTGACAAGACAGTTTTAAAATGCCTTGCCTTCTTTGACAGACTGTACGAAGACTGGGTTGTCTCCACTGACCGTCAGCCCAAATCCATTGTCACCCTTCTGGATGATCACACAGCGCTGAACAAGACCTGCACAGGAACCACAGGACAGAGAGAAGGAAGAGAGAAACAAAGAGAAAAAGGATAATAATTACATAGTAGCAATGAACTGTATTCTTTATGGAGAAATACAAGGTAGCACATGAAACCCATCTATAATAATAAAAGCGTAATATGCTAATTAGACCGGATGACCTTCCGGACGAAGCCAGGGCTGCGAGAGAAGCCCGGGTCCCGGGTGCCGAGTGCCTGCTGGCGGCCACGGGGAAGCCTGGGTCCTGGGTGCTGGAGGGAAGCCGGTGCCAGCAGCCGGGGTAAGGAAGGCCTACTCTTGCACGAATTTCATGCATCGGGCCTCTAGTATATAAAATAAGAGCACTAACCCATGAACAAAACAAACATAAGAACATCACAAAGCCATATATATCTATATATAGGTCTCTCACTGGAGAGGCAGCGTAGAATGGGCCCGAGATGAACAACAGCTCTGGCAAACGGGAAAGAGAGGGTATTAGAGAGGAGACATCTGTGCTATTATTCGTAACATAAAATCCTCCCCTACCACCCTGTGTTTTGGTGCTCTTAACCACCAACCCCCCCACTCCCCAAAAAACAACAACAACCAAAACATTTTGGGACATTAAGCTAGAAGCAACCCATAGTAAATTCTAGAGAAATCCAATTTCACTCTCAGGGAAATATACTCAGAAACACAGACTATATAAAGGAGGTGCTTGCAGAGCGCCTGCAGCTTTTCTCCCAAAAGAAAGAGAAAAAAGGGAAAGCTGCAAAGGGCAGAAAACCTTGGCTCAAAGAAAAAATAAATAGAAAAGAGAAAAAAGTAGAAAAGATAAAGAATCTGTGAGGTCAACCAACTCTTTTATCTCTTTCATATACTGACCTGATTCCTCCAGGAGCATTTATTTTCCTTCCAGTTAAACAGCAAATGGAAATTGTCAAGGCAGGGTGAGAGGAAGAGGACCCCGTCAGAGGATAGGGATGTCCCACAACAGAAGAAGCCTGGTTAGTGCCCAGCTCTTTTATTATGGATCAGATATGAAGATCCTCAACTCTGTGTTAACCAAAGACTTAATACATACTTTCAGTTTTACAGAATCTAATCATTTCACCAAAAATCAATATACAGCCCTAGCTGGTGTGGCTCAGTTAGTTGAGCATCATCTCATGCATCAGAGGTCACTGGTTAGATTCCAAGTCAGGGCACAAATCCAAGTTGTGGCTTAATCCCCAGTAGGGGGCGTTCAGGAGGCAGCCAATGGATGTTTCTATCCCTCTCCCTTCCTCTTTAAAATCAATAAAAACATATAAAAATCAATATATAAACAGCTGTAAAACAGCAGGTATAACAATGGTTAGAAAATATTCTTCAAAATAAAAATTTTTATACAGAGCCATGATCTTTTACAAAACAAAGAGTATGTTAAAGACTGCATATTTCTATATATATTTCTTGCTGTTAATGGAATGTCACAAGTATTTGAGCTACTGCAGATGAAAGGAAATAACTAGATGCCAGCATGAAAAATATGAACCTTAAATTTTAACTCATAACCCTATATAAAATTTAACTTAAGCAGATCATGGACCTAAACATGAAGCTAAAATATTTCATGAGAAAACACAGAAAAAAATCTCCAAGACCTTAGGGTAGGCAGAGATAGTTGAGGATGCAAAATGTACCAACTAGAAAAGAAAAAAAACTAGTAAATTGAACTAAAAATTTAGAACATCTGCTCTTCTAAAAGACACTAAGAAAATGAAAAGGCAAGCCAAAGACTGGGAGAAAATATTCACAAAACAAATATGTAAGTTTATATCCAATAACATATTTAAAAAAACTCTACAATTTAAAAATGTAAGACTTTTTTTTAAAAAAAAGGACTTTTTTTCCCTTTTAGAATGATGTGGTAAGTGAAACCAACATTTAAACTGGTAGTTTAAAGCACTGCCAGTTGGCAACCGCTGCTTTAAAAGGGACAAAAGATTTGAATAAACAAATCACAAAGAAAGAAATACCAATGCGTGATAAGCACATGCAAAGGTGCTCAGTATCTGCAGTCATCAGAAAAATGTCAATTAAAATCACACTGAGATGCCATATACACTAACTGAAATGGCTAAAAACAGGAGTGACAATACCAAGTGCTGGCAACAGCTGTGGAGCAACTCGAATGTTCATACATCCTCTGGGAGTGTCAAATGGTACACTTTGAAAAACAGTTCAGAAATTTCAACACGTATTTATATCTGACCCAGCAATTTCATTCCCAAGAGAAATGAAAACTCCTTTGTACATAAAGAATGGTAGACAAATGTTCATAACAGTTTTTTATTCATAAAAGCCCCAAACTAGGAAATAAAACTAGAACTAGGCATATATGCAAAAACAAATTAATCAAAAAAACATTATGCTGAGCAATGGACAGCAGATACAAACAAAACTAAACTATAGTAACAAAAATCAGATTAGTGACTGCCTAGGGGCAGAGTGGGGAGAATGAGTGCAAAGGAACATTAAGGAATTTGGGGCGATGGAAATGTCCTGTACTTAAGGTAATGGTTACATGAGTATATTCATTTGTCAGAACTTACTGAACTGCACATCTAAAATGGATACATCTTATTTTATGTAAATTGTACCCCAAGAAATTTGATTTTCAACATTAAAAAAAATGTGTTACCACTCAACTCAAGAGACTACTAAATACTAAATAGCATTTGAATTTACCACTCCCACAAAATAGTCAATTAGACTGAGGGTAGAGGGAAGACAGCCCATCAAAATCAACCATTTTCCTTTGCTTAATGTTTCTTCCTTCAAGTAACTAGGAAAAACTATAAATGGAATGGATAAGAATACATAAAAACAAGAAAAAAGGCATTCTTTATAAATTTCTAATACAGAATACAACAAATATAGGAATGAGAGAACCTCAAAATAGATTAAGAGCAGTGTTTTTCAGGAAGCTTTAAAAAAATCATGGTTTTATCCAGTCCTCTATGGCAGGACACTGTGGCTGTTTGCATGCCGTGGCCACAGTGAATAATGCTGCAACAAACACAGGGGTGCCTCTATCTTTGTGAATACGTGTTTCAGATTTTCAGATATATACCCAGGAGAGGAACTACTGGGTCAAACACACAGTGGAATACTACTCAGCAATAAGAAAGGCTGAAACAGCACCATTTGCAACAGCATGGATGGACCCTGAGAACATGATGCTGAGTGCAGTAAGTCAGTCAGAACAAGCTGAGACCCTGTAACCTCACTCGTGTGTGGGTATAAAAGGGACACGCGCGGACACTAGCAGCATGTGGTAGGGGCTGGAGGGGGGATGCGGAGAAGGGCACCTACTATGAGGTGACAGGAGGGGATCTGACTCTGGGAGGTGGGCACGCAGTGCAATACACAGCTCCTGCCACACAGAAACCCACACCTGAAACCTGTATGTTCATGTGGACCAACGCCACCCCAATAAATGTAATTTTAAAAATATATGGTTTTTGAAAACATAAATATCCGATGTCCTTCTTTCCAGAGTTATTTGAAATTTCAAAATGAATTATATATTGCGACTTTAAAATAAAAATCAAGACAACTGCAACACTGAATATATATATATATATCATACTATATCCACCTCCCCATTCTCCCACGAGTTGCAAGTCAGTGAACTGAAAGTTCTAATCTTGGTGTTCATTGTGCTCAGCCACTCGCAGACTCATCTTCAGTTCACTTTAGAGCAGCGGTCACCAACCTTTCGGACTTCACGGACCACCAGTTGGCAACCGCTGCTTTAGAGAACCGGGTGCTTGTGATAATGAGGGCGAGGAGTAGTGAGGGTTAAGAGTTTTCACATTTGTGCATTTCACTGTAATACAATGAACATAAAGTAATTATTTAATGCCTGACACATACTAACGGCTCATAAATGTTAACTATTATCTATATATATAAAAGGCTAATATAATATGCAAAGTGTCCCCTTGGGAGTTCAACTGGGAGACCAGGAGTTCGATCACTCACTATGACATGCACTGACCACCAGGGGGTGGTGCGAAACTAATGAAGGCCCCAGCCGGCAGCCAGGGAAGGAAGGCCCCGGCCGGCAGCTGGAAGGCCCTGACCAGCCCTGGTCGCAGGCCAGGCCTAGGGGCCCTACCCATGCACCGGGCCTCTAGTTTTATTATGATTGGAGGTAAGTCGCCTTTGGACTTTTCTCATCAGAAATATAGCTACCAGTTAAAAACCAATTAACACTGGTGTGTTAACTAGCTCCTATCATTTTTGCTATTTCTCCTTTAAAATGATCAATCCTCATTTATGTCTTTGTCTAAATTTTATTTTGTTTTAATAGACAAGCAAATTATTTTTAAATGAGACAGGAAGAGAGAAGAAAAGTTAACAGAGCAGGGCTTCTAGGAATAGGTAACTTCAGAAGATGAGAGACAATAGAAAAGCTACGAGAAATGAATCCCCTCCTCTTAGAAGCCTTTTCAGACTGCCCGGGGGGACGGGGGGGGGGGTCCCTATAGCCCCAACAGTGCCATCTGACTGACATCTGTCTTGTCCTCTGAGAAAAAGGGCAGGGGCTCTATCTTGTTACAGTCTTATGTCAGGACCTGGCAATTGTTCTGGCACAGGAAAAGCTTCTTTAAAAAACTGCTAATAAATGAATGAAAATTGGATAAGTAGAAGAGTCTAGGGCAGCCGTGGGCAAACTACGGCCCGCGGGCCGGATCCGGCCCATTTGAAATGAATAAAACTAAAAAAAAAAAAGACCGTACCCTTTTATGTAATGATGTTTACTTTGAATTTATATTAGTTCACACAAACACTCCATCCATGCTTCTGTTCCGGCCCTCCGGTCCAGTTTAAGAACCCATTGTGGCCCTCGAGTCAAAAAGTTTGCCCCCCCCCGGAGGGAAAGGATGGAATCTCAGAAAGGGAGGTGATCTAAGAGAAAAAACAATACCAGCACACACAGTCAACTTTAGCAAACAGACCC